GGAACTGTACTCATTAACGAACATCGGCCAATAAATATGTTACCATGCATTGAAAGAGTCATCGAAAAACTAGCACACAAACAATTCAATATGTACGTTCAATCAAACAATCTTCTCAATCAATGTCAATCGGGATTTCGAGCTTTACATTCGTGTGAGTCAGCAATCAACGATGTGCTATATGATTTGAGAGATGCGCAAAATAAATCGCAAATTACCGTCGCAGTTTCCCTGGATCTTCAACGTGCATTTGAGGTCATCGAACCAAATTTACTCATCGAAACATTAAAAAAATACGGAGTTCAACCATTATCTCTTCAATGGTTCAAGAGCTATTTGAATGGGGTAGAATAAAAACTACTTCTCGAAAAATGTTTAAACACGAAACCAAAAAAAAACTTTCAATGAAAAGTGAATCAATTTTTTTTCGTCCAATTGAAGTGAACCAAAAAAAATTTGTTCAATAAAAGTGAACCCAAAAAAAAAATTCATTTTAGTGTATTTTACACTGAAAAAACCGAGTGAAATTTTTTTTTTGGTTCACTTTTATTGAACAAAATTTTCTTGATTCACTTCAATTGGACAAAAAAAAATTGATTCACTTTTTATTGAAATTTTTTTTAGGTTTCGTTTTAAAATAGCAATTTTTCGAGAAGTAGTTTTTATTCTACCCCATTCATTTAACAAACAGAAGCCAGACGGTTAAGATCGGCGACGTAATTTCAGAGCCACGTGATAATAATTTGGGTGTACCACAGGGATCCATTTTGGGCCCATTATTATTTATTTTGTATATAAATTGTATAACTACTTGTATTAAACATTGCACCGTTAAAATATTTGCTGATGATACATTTGTATACATTAGTGCTATTAATATTGATGAAGCCATTCAAAAACTCAATGAAGATCTGGACAGATTATTTGATAAACTATGCCAAATTAAATTAAAATTGAATATAGATAAAACTAAAGCCATGATAATTACAAATAAAAAAATCAATCGTAGCATCATAGACATATTCATAAATGGCACCAGACTAGAAATTGAGAGAGAAATAAAGTATTTGGGTGTTATCATTGATGACCAACTTAAATTTGACAAAAATATTGAATATGTTTGTAAAAAAGTGGGTAAAAAAGTCGGTGTTCTAAGTAGATTAAAAAATGAACTTAACAAAAACCAAAAAGAATATTTATATAAGTCACTCATTCAACCACATTTTATTTATTGTGCATCTATCTTATTTCTGTCCAATTCGTCTAATATTGATCGGCTAAAAAACTTGCAAAATAAATGTATGAGACAAATTTTAAGTGTAAATCGTGATACTAATGTTAATTATCTATTTGATTCGTTGAAATTTATGAATGTTAAGCAACAAATAATTTTTAGAACTTTATTATTCATTTATAAAACCGTGAACGGACTAGCCCCTAATTACCTTACCAATAGAATCGAATATCGACAACAAATTCACAATAGAAATTTGAGAAGAGCAAATACCATAGCAGTCACGAATGCAACTAAAGCATGTAGCCAAAATGCCTTGTTTTATAGGGGAATTCAACTTTATAATGCCATTCCTAATGAAATTAGACATATTGATTCGATAAAAAAATTTGAAAATAAATTAAAAACCTATGTATTGGAAAATTATTAATTGAAAACTATGTAAACTGTAACGTTGTTTTATGGAGAAATCTAAATAAATAAATTATTATTATTATTATTACATCACACGATGACTATAAGAATTGTGACCTCTCTATAGTGACATTAGTTGTTTGTTGGCAGTTATTCGAACAGGTTTGTTTACTTTTATATTTTGACTTCGGAAATTTTGTTTTAATTTGGATGATAAATTGAGATAAATCAGTACACGTGTACATTTTGCTCGAAAATAATATTTGGCCTTGAGTTGGCATACTTCATTCAACCGATCAAGTCATTATTACATCAATTTTATTAAATTTAATTACGATAAAAGTATACACAAATTTTGTAAAAATGGATCAAAAATCTGCGAATTTTGTCAAAATAAAACGATATTTCAACCAATTAATTATCTGGTCAATATAGCATGGGCAATATGAATTACGTGATAGTACTCGCTTGTTTATCATTAATGGTAAGTTGAGTTTAAGCAGTAAATTATGTATTTATTTAGTATTATTTTGATATTTCCGTATTTTGTAAAAACATTTGTTACATTTTAGATATGTTTAGTTCAAAGCTCTCAAAATGTTGAAATGGAAGAGATTCGAGCAAAAGCATTTTTAGAGAAACTAAATAATGAAATCAGAGAACGATATAGTAAGTACTGGATAGGAGAATGGAATTACGTAACAAACGTAACAGCAGAGAATGGAGAACAAAAAAATGCAATAGCCGCTGAAAATGCCAAATATTATAAAGTTCGTAATTGTTTCATTCATTTCATGATCAAAAGTGACCATCCATGTGATTTTAAAAGCAATTAATTTGATACAGGAGAAGTCGAAAGAAATCTTGGAATTCGATTTCAATGCGTTTAAAAACGATGACCTAAAAAGACAATTTAAGTTGCTGTCAAGGCTTGGATATGCAGCACTTCCTGCAGATAAATTCAATTTATTAAATAGTGCCGTTACTTCCATGAAATCCAA